CAAAGCAGGAGGGGCAGCACAACACACTGGTTTTAAGTGTGGACTCTGAAATCAGAATACCTGGGCTTGAGTTACGATTTCTGATGAATAAAAACTAAGTAGCTCTTTTGTTTGTTGGATATTTTGATTTTCTTTTAGGTATAAAGGAAAGGAGTTAAAAAGAGTTTTTTGTTTTGTTTCGATGATAGAAAAATGTGTGCCTCAAAACAGCTTCCCTGCTTTAAAATATTGATATCAATCTTTGTATGAAGATGCTGTCTTATTTAGTCTAGTGAAAAGATCCCAAGAGGGTGTGGTGACATGCATCGATGTGGAGAAGAGGTGAGTCATGATGGGTGTGCAGTCTATTACCCACAAAGTTATGAAACTCCTTATGGTGTGAAAGAGGTATAGTCCTTCAGGAAACTGGAGAAAATCCCAGATAACTATCTCAAGAATTACCTGAGATCTCTCATAAACCCAAATTCGCACAAGTGCTGGACAGTAACTGAATGAATTCCCAGAGAATTCTGTGACCTTTCAGTCTTATCAACTCAGAAATACATTGTTTCCTTGTGGCAGGAAAGTATCAGAACCTCTCTAATCAAGTATAAGTCATTAGAATGTAGAATCTTCAATTTGTATCACAACATGATGGACCACAGGAGTTCATTAAGATGATTGAATAGGTTCTTCTGGCGCTACTGCAGATAAGGATTTATTTATTTGTTTATTTATTTATTTATTTGACAGAGAGGGACACAGCGAGAGAGGGAACACAAGCAGGGGGAGTGGGAGAGGGAGAAGCAGGCTTCCCGCTGAGCAGGGAGCCTGATGCGGGGCTTGATTCCAGGACCCTGGGATCATGACCTGAACCGAAGGCAGACACTTAACGACTGAGCCACCCAGGCGCCCATGCAGATAAGGATTTAAACATCAAGTCTTTCGCTGGCACAAAAGGAAGATGAAATTCCTAGTTATAACTACACAATAGAAATGATGTTGACATTGGCTATGCCTGGTGGGTAAACATTATGATATACAGCTGGCAATGAGAAAACAAAAATGACATACAGAATATGAAATTAAGCATCAATGTGGGGAAGTATGACAATGCTTCATCTGCAAAGATGACTTAAAAAGAGAATTTTGTGGGTAGTAAGAAGGGGGAATTTGAGTTTTCATAGACCATCTAATATATGACTACACTTCCTTAAATACCTATCCTGTTCACATTTTACCTTGTTAATGAAATTATTTTTAACTTGGTTGAATTTTTATAGCCATTGAAATGGAAAAATAACTAAGGTATCAACATAAGAATAGATTTTGTTCATCTGTTATGTTTTTGTTCATTTATTGTTAAAGTAATATTAGTGTTGAAAATTTGAAATGTTTAAGTACACTGTAAGATAAAATAATTCTGCTAATGTGTTTGGGAACCATTACTTTCAGTGTAAGATGAAAGAAGTACTAGTAAAATATCAGGGTTTTATGAAAAATATGAATAGATCAGTATAAGCTCATAACTTAAAATAGTATGTTGTGATTCCTTGCCATGTCCACTGATGGTAGTCAAGACTCAATGACATCCCATTGGTTAGAAGCACCTGAAGCAGCCAGATTGGGGTTTTCAAATACCATTGCCCACTAAGGAATGGCTGACTCCAAGTCTGGCAGAGGCAATATGCAGGATGAATCTGAAGTGTTATAACTATGGCATTTTCTTAACAGTGTATTTCAAAGAAAATAACTTATCATTATAATGAACTCTAATTTATCAATTTTTAATTTAACGCTGTGTTTGTCTTGCCTGAAAAACTTTTGCGTAACAAAACTGTTATCTTCTGTTTCCTTCCAAAACTTCAGAGTTTTTACTTTTACATGTTATGTCCATGACCTATTTCAAGTTGATTTTTGTATATGGTGTGAACTATGGATCAAAGTTCTTTTTATTTGTTTTTTATTTTGTTTTTGTTTTTGCATATGGATTTCCGATTGTTCCAGCATTATTTGTTGGAAAGACTTTTGTCAACTGAGTTATCTTGACAACTTTGTTGAAAATCTATTGTCCATATATGTATGGTTTGGTTTCTAGACTATCTTGTTCGATTGGTATTCTTATACCAATACCACAGCCTTGATTATTCTAACTTTATATGCCTTGAAATCAGGTAATGATTCTTCCCCTTCTTTTTTTCACCAAAGATATTTTGTTTATCTTAGCTCTTTTGCATTTGCATATAAATTTTTGAATCAGCCTGTCAATTTCTATAAAAATGCCTGTTGGAATTTTTTTGTGGGTGATTAGATTGAATATACACATCAATTTGGGGGGAATTAATATCTTGACATTGAATCTTTCCATCCATAAACACTATGTATCTCTCCATTTACTTAGATATTTTGCAAGAGCCACTTTTTAAAAAGTGTTTACTAATTGCAGTTAGTCAGACAGTGTAATATTAGTTTCAGGTGTACAGTATAGTGATTCAACACTTCCATACGTCACTTGGTGCTCATCACAAGTGCACTCCTTAATCCTCATCACCTATTTCACCCATTTCTGCCCCCCTCCCCTTTGGGTTTGTTTTTTCAGCTTGTTCTCTATAGTTAAGAGTCTGTTTCTTAGTTTGCCTCTTTTTTTTTTCATCCTTTGCTCATTTCTTAAATTCCCCACAAAGGTCACTTATGAAGTCTATTAGGTTCTCTGTAGTTTTTGAGATCTTCTGTGTAGAAGACCATGTTGTCTGCAAATAGAGACAATTTTATTTCTTCCTTTCCCAAACCTATGCATTACCCTCCCCCACCACCTTCCCTTTTTGTTTTCCCTACTGCAGTAGCTAAGATCACTAGCACAGTGTTCATTAGGAAGAGCAAAGTATACAGCTTTGACTTTTTGAAGAAAAAAAAAACTTGGGGGCAAGCATTTAGTCTTTCACCATTAAATATGATGACTAGATTTTTTTACAGATACCTTATAACAATAGGAAGAAGCTGTCCTTTATTTCTAGTTTGCTTTTTATTCTAAATAGGTGTGGAATTTTTGTCAAATAATTTTCCTGCATCAACTGAAATGATCATATGTTTATTTTTTTAGGCTACTGATATGATGAAATACACGAGTTGGCTTCATATATTGGACCAATCTTGCATTCTTGAATTCAACTCTACTTGGCCATGATGTACTTTCCTTTTAAAATATTGCTAAATTTGATGTGCAAATATTAAGGATGGCTATGGCCTGTGTTCAGGAGAAATACTGGTCACCAACTGTTTTTTCTTATGTCTCTGTCTGGCTTTAGCATCATGGTCATAAAATATGTCAAAGATCCTTGCTCTTCTCTTTTCTGGAATAGATATTGTAGAATTGTCATTATCTTTTATTTAGTTGTACTCAAATCTTTTTAAGATCTTTTAATTATCTGCAGGTTCTTAAGTGATGCTGTTTCCTTTCATTGCTTGTTATGGATATTTATGCCTTCTTTTTCTTTGTATTGCCATGGGATTAATGATCTTTTTCATCAATAATGTTGTTTTGTTGTTCCTATTTTATGTTTTTTTTCCCCTCTATTTTTCATCTTCTTTTTATCACTTTCTTTTTTACTTTCTTGGAGTTTATTTCACAATGTTTTTATTCTAACCTATTGAGTTGGATGCTTAGATATTTTCCGGCTTTCTTCTTGCCTGATCTATACTTATTGCAATACCTTTCCTTATATTACAGGTTTAGGTGGAACCGGTTTTGTGAGTAGTATGCAGTAATTTAAGTTTTCATTTTTTGTTTTACCTGTATGGATAACAGAGCCAGAAACATTTATTGAAGTACTACTTTTCTCCTGCTATTCTACATTGCCACCTTTGTCATAACTCAAGAATCTACAGGTAACTGTCTGTTTCTGGATTCTCTTATCATTGGTCTATTTGACTACCCATGTGCAATACCACATTGTCTTTTATTACTTTATAGGAAGTTTTTGTCTGGTAAATTCTCCAAGTTTGCTCTTCAAAAGTATCTTGGCTATTCTTGCTTTTTAACATCTCCATATGTGATTTTATAATTAAATTGTAAAATTTCAAAAAAAAAAGCTTACTGGGGTTTTTATATGAAATGCATTGAATATTGTGGGAAATTGATCTTTATTGAGGGATGCCAAAGGACATGAATAATCATATGTGCTACATCCAGTGCTATGGGCAACCATAGGAAGAGGTATTGTTAAAATTATGAAGAATAGACTATCAGAATAAACCTGATACAGAATTAAGCATAACAGGACATCAGAGCAAGCTCAGTTAACTACCGATAAAAATGGAGTATATGCCATTTACTAACAGTAGGATGATTCATAAAACCATTGCTTTAATTCCATAATAGAGCTAAAAATCCTCACAGAAATTTGTAGCCAGTTGCTTGTTACCTGCATGCTTTATGGTATTTCGTTGTTGCTCAATAAAATAAGCTAACTCTGTATTTATGAATGGGCTTATTCCTTTGGATTTCAATTTCTTTCCTCATCTCCCCAATATATAAATCACTTTGGGGGAAAATAGGCATCTTTAATATTGAGTCTTTCAGCCAAAAAACTTGATAAATCCCTCAATTTATTTAAGCCTTGTTTAATTTATTCAGTAATGTTTTATAATTTTCTATATAGTGGTCCTACACTACATGATTAGATTTATTTCAGGTGGTCCTTATTTTTGATGCTAATGTAAATGGTATCTTTACATTTTCACTCTGCTGTGGGGCACCTGGGTGGCTCAGTCGTTAAGCATCTGCCTTTGGCTCGGGTCATGATTCCAGGGTCCTGGGATTGAGCCCTGCATCAGGCTCCCTACTCCACAGGAAGCCTGCTTCTTTCTCTCCCACTGGCCCCTGCTTGTGTTCCCTCTCTCACTGTGTCGTTCTCTGTCAAATAAATAAATAAAATCTTAAAAAAAAAATTTCACTCTGTTGCTCATATGTAGAATTAGTTTATTTTTCAATACTGAAACTGTATAAAGCAACTAAACTCCTTTATTTCTAATATTTAATCAGTATATCTTTGCTTTTCTTATACATAATTGTATAATCTACAATGTCTATATTACTTTTTCCTTTCTAATCCTTATGCCTATTTTCCTATTCTTGCTGCATTGCACTGATTAGCTCCTCTAATAAAATGCTCAAAAAAGAAGTGAAGTATTAAATTAGTAGGTGCTAAGTCTAAATTGGGATGCTTATAGAAGTCCATCATCAGATCAACAAGGTTGGCTGGAGGTTTGTGACAGTGGGAAACCAAATGGGAGGCCTGTAAAGTAGGAATTATGAATCTTTGTTATATCTACATTAGTCCCATAGCTGTCACTATATAGAACTCGCTCTTCACTAAATTTCTGTGTGTTCACAAAATTATTTTATTTTTTGGTCCTTCTCATGCCTCATAAGGATCAGTTGAGACATCTTCCATGAGAAAATGTCAGAGTAGCTAAACCCAAAATCTGTACTCCTAGGCCTTCTTTCCTGGGTCTGAATGGTCAATTTATATCTGATGTGAGTGTTCTCAGCTCACTGTTCATAATGAAGTCAAGAATTTATCCACACAAACTAGGAATGTCTCACATCCCCGTTAGGCATGTCCTCTCCCCTGCAGAGGTTCTTACCCAGAGGGTCCCCATTTTTTCTTAAGAGACAGTTCAGCCCTTCAGGAAGAAGATCAGGTGGGCAGGAAACGTGAAGGAATCAAGCAGGAACTATATGAAGAACTATGTGAACATAAGTATACAGACACCCTCATTCTTGCCAAGTATTGCCCTTCTGCAGGCACCACAAATAAGGGTGCTCATGGAGGAATAGGCAGAACAACAGGAAAGAGAGCAAGAGATATTTTAGAGATATCAAATTCTCAAATCTGTGGCAGGCATACTTTCTCATCCCAAGAGTTTTGCTCTGCAAGTGTCCTTTGTTCCCAGGGAAAACAGTTGTGGGGAGGGCAGGAGTCAGAAAAGAACTGGAGAGACATTAGACAGGATCTTTATGTGTAATCACCAGTTTATATAAATGTATGTAAAAAATAATAAAAGCACAATAAAATGTCACTTTAACATACCAAGAATCAAGGCTACCAGGGTCAAAGACAGTAAAATGAACAGTCATGGGAATGGGATATCAAGAGCAGAGTGTCTGGAATGCAAAGCAAGTTTAGATGTAGTTTTTACACATTAGTCTTAGCATCCAGTTGCAGGAGGATAAAGAGAAAGATAAAAAGAACTAATATTAACTGAAAATGTGCTCTACATTTTTTTAATGATAACAGAAAATATTCAGATGGGTGAAGCAGGCTTGCTTGAAGTCACACAATCTGTGAGTAGCTAAGCCAGGATTAAAACACAAGACCATCTGGCTCAGTACCAAAGCATTTCCACAATACCAAACTCTCAGTGAGGAAGAATAAATGGGAGATCAGGTCAAGGTGCACTGATTTCAAGGTCCAGGATCCTTCCAGAGAGACAGGTCAACTTATATGCTTGAGATGGGAAAATGCATAAACATCACCTGTATTGAATCTGATCCACCTATCTTTGTACAAGAATTTTACATGTATCTTTAGGGGTCATGCCAAGCCCCTCCTAATAATGTAGTTTCTAGGAGTTGATTTTCTTTCTTTTTCTTTTTACTCAAGCTTTCCTCATGTCCTTTATTGGGAATTACTGTCTGGCCAAAATTATGCCAAGCTAATATTAGCAATTTCACAATGTCTGGTTATTGTTAATGTAGTATAATAAAGAATATGTAACTTGACAATATTCTATATACATAATTTGTTCTACTGACCATAACTTTAAAAGTTTTATACACCATGTTGAAAATGTTCTTCATTTATGATTATTTTCCATCATCTTTGCTGAGCTAGGTATCACCACACTACAGACATGAATTCTCTTGTAAAATTTTATCTATAAAGATGTCCCATAAATATCAAATCAGTCAGGTTCCTAGTATTTATTAAGGCTTGAGCTAATACTGAGAAGGCTTTTCTGTGTTCAGTTCATTATGATTTTACCACTGTTATGAATTCTCTGGTGTACAGTGAGTTGTGACTTTTGAATGAATGCTTTCCCACATACAGCACACCGATAGGGTCTCTCCCCAGTATGAATTCTCTGATGTAAAACAAGGTCTGACTTCTGGGAAAAGGCCTTTCCACATTCAGCACATACGTAAGGTTTCTCTCCTGTATGAATGCGCTGATGCCCTGGGAGGTGGGACTTCTGAGAGAAGGCTTTCCCACATTCACTGCATACGTAAGGTTTTTCTCCTGTGTGAATTCTCTGATGTCCAATGAGATGTGATTTCTGACAGAAGGCTTTTCCGCATTCACTGCATTTATAGGGTTTCTCTCCAGTATGCGTTCTCTGATGTATGATGAGCTGTGACTTCCGGGAGAAGGTCTTTCCACATTCAGTACATTCATAAGGTTTCTCCCCAGTATGAATTAACTGATGTGTAATGAGTTCTGTCTTCCTGCTGAAGGCTTCCTCACACTGAGCACATTTGTACGGTTTCTCCCCAGTATGAATTCTTTTATGTATAATGAGATGGGACTTCTCACAGAAGGCTTTCCCACATTCAGTACATTCATATGGCTTCTCTCCAGTATGAGCTCTATGATGTATTATCAGCTGTGACTTCTGGGAGAAGGCCTTCCCACACTCTCTACATTCATAAGGTTTCTCTCCAGTGTGAATTCTCTGATGTATAATGAGGGGTGATTTCTGGGAGAAGGCTTTCCCACATTCACTGCACTCATATGGTTTTTCCCCAGTGTGAACTCTCTGATGTATAATGAGGGAAGATTTTTGAGAGAAGGCTTTTCCACATTCAGCACATTCATAAGGTTTCTCCCCAGTATGAGTTCTCTGATGTACGATGAGATGAAACTTCTCACTGAAGGCTTTCCCACATGCACCACAATCATATGGTTTCTTTCCAGTATGAATTCGTTGATGTACAATGAGCTGTGACTTCTTAGCAAAGGCTTTTCCACATGTAATACATACACAGGTTTTCTCCTTAGTTTCAACATTCTGATATTGAATAAGGGATTGTTTACTACTAAAAATGTTTCCACACTGATTATTATTACAGGGCATTACTCCATTGTGAATTTTCTCAAGATTAGAATCAGATGCACCATGGCTAGATGATTTTCCACATCCAAAACTCTCATCAGGGTTTTTTCTTGAATTGCTCTTATTACAACTACGTAGGTCAATATGATATTTCAAGTTCTTTTTAAATACATCATAGTTATGGGATCTTTGTCTTAAAGTATCTGGCTCTATGCAATCGTGAAATATTTTTCCCAACGCATTATATTTATGTCCTGACTCCACAGTCACTGTTTTGTTGTTAATGACTGTTACTTGCCTGAAAAGCTTGTCTTGGTTTTCATGACATCTCTGCAGCTGGCCATCATCTTGACAGACTTTTAAGATGGAGTACAATGAACCATCCTTTGTGACTCCTTTCAGGATATTATTACGGAAGGAAACAGACCCCAAAATACATGCTTTGGGGTTGTCAAGGTTACTTTTCCTGTCTAAAAGAAAGAAAGATAAATAAAACAACTGTAAAGAACAATTAACAGAATGCAGAAGAACAGAACAAATGATTAATCAATGTAGTTGATGAACTCAGAACACAGGGATGGGGACAAGCCATCTCATAGGACAGTACAGCATAAAATATGATCAGATGAATGGATGGAAAAGGATGTTAAAGAGAAAAATTCATGGAAAAAATTAGAACGGATGGAGACAGAAAAGTATCTGTGTTATTATCACTCTGAATCTTGGATTATTCTCCTAGAATCTTTCCATTTTCCCTGCTTTCTGAATGGAAACCTTTTTCACCTTTTGAATTCATTTATCTTATAAACCATTTGCTATAAATATACTTAACTACTATTATCCTGCCACCACTATCCACAGAAACAAGGTCCCTCTGTACTCAAAATACTTTAACTCTCCTCATTCTACTTTCCTAATTAAAAACTAACACAAACAACAGAAAAATCCAAGATCTTGCTATGGATTCAGTATCAGATTCACACTTAAAACCCAAGCTTATATTCCACTACTTGCCATTAATACCTCCTATACGTACCAAGTAAAACTAGCAAAGTTCTCCCAGAAAAGCCTTAATTCTCTAACTTCAAGGTTTTGTTCATATACTCTCTCCCCACCAGTCTGCCTTCACCCTCCTCCTTCAGCATCATCAACACGTTATATATCTTTCAAAGCAGCTACAGCTGCATGTTCTGAAAAATGCCTTTCAAATTGTTGTATCTTTAGACTCTCATTTTCTCTGAACTTTTAAGACAGTAACTATATTTGACATATAATTGTGTAGAGCCATGTACCTGGAGGTCTTACCATCTGAAGTACAACCTATGTTCTTGGGAGGAATTTGCCTTTCTATTGCCTCTCATAAAAGGTGTTAAAAATATACATATATGCAGAGAGAAAGAAGATCAGTAAGAAATAGCTCCCCCTTCTAAAAGTTTACAACTATTTAATTATTTGTTGAATGCCTACTAAATTCTCAGCACAGGGACAAAGAATAAGAGATTTCAATAAGGATAGAACATAAACCTCAGGCATCAATCAATTAAGAAAACAAAACAAACTGATATTTTACTTCCCTTGTCTCCCATCGTCCTGATTTTCATCTGGAAAGATCCAATTTGGTATGTCTCTCTTTATGATCCATGGATCTTCTCCTTGTTCCAACTTAGAGATGACATCTGGTTTGGAAACTGGATATCCTATTAAATGGAAATCACAGAGGAATTGGGATTGATTGCACTGAAGGAAAAAGTGAAGGTGTAGTTTCAGGAGGGCTACAATGAAGCAATCCAGGTGGCCCTCAGCAAAAACAATGACCTCCATTTGGGAAGGTCTGAAGATCATAAAAGTCATTATATGTCAGGAACTACCAACCATGGCACCTGATAAGGAAAGGAACTTGGATGGACAAGTCTGAGTTATGCAGGGAAGCCATCCTTACCCATTGAGACCAGGTGGCTGAAGTTCTCCAGCATCACATCCCTGTACAGGGTCCTCTGAGCAGGGTCCAGTTGCTGCCACTCCTCTTGGGTAAAATGCACAGCCACATCCTTGAATGATACTAAGCCCTGTAACAGTATATTCCTGTTCAACCTGAAGTGATCATTCTCATCATTTCCATTGCAATATACAAAATTGTACTACACCTACTTTTATATCATATCATGGTATTTGGCAGAAACAATACAAAATCCTGTCTTTACAAGAAGTGCCAGACACAGATCAGGAAAACAGAAGAGGTAAATCAAAAGGCCTACTTGATGCAAATGGTAATTTAATAAATGATAAGGGCAGCATTCAAATAACCGAGAAGAAGACCGATTACTCAAAGAATAATATTGAAACAACTGGTTAGCCAACAGGAAAAGAATAATGTCGAATCCATACGTTCAAGGTAGAGCTGTGTCCCTTTCAAAATGCATATGTTAAAGTACTAATCACCAATTTCTCAGAATGTGACTGTATTTGGAAACATTGGGTCATTGCAGAGGTAATTCTATGAGGTCATTAGGGTGGACCCCAATATACATTTTGTAAATTGCATATACAATCAGTCTCATCTAAGTGATCTCAATCTTAAGATGCCTCTCATCCACATTCACACCATCAAGCTGCCAGGCATTTAGTTTGTCCCTTAAACAGCCTTATTAATTTCCTCATTTTACATATGAGAAAACCGAGGATTACAGTGGTTAAGTAACTACTTGCCAGAGGTTATACACTGAATATATGATTAACTAGCAGATTTAAAAGCACGTATTCTGAATCGATAGCTTGAGTTCTTGATCACTGCACTCCACACTGTCTCCTTGATATTGTAAACAAGATCTTTTGCATCTTATTGTTTTAATAACACCCTTAGTCAAACTTCCCGTGAAACAACCTATATTTTAGTTTTCTTCAAATTCTCAGCCTTCCTAAAACCACTCTGCTCCTTCTACTTTTGCAAATGTTTCCCATCTTTATCCTACTTCCCTCATGATTTAATAATCCTTTGAGCCTATTTCCTACTTCCTTAGAAAGCTGGTTCTTTCTAAGTTGCTTTCTAAGTTGCTCCCCATCTCTGCTTTAACAGTTCTTTGCTCCCATGTCTCTTATAGAGCTTTTATTTGTCAGTGCTGGTTTCCATATCTGTTTACCTAATTTTTCTCTGCATTCCTCCCAGAAAAAAAAAATACCTAAATCTTGAGATACTCCACAGCCAGCCAGTGCATATGACACACATTAGGTACTCAACAAATGTTTGCTAAAAAGGAATGAATGATGATTATAGAGAATAAAATCAAGTTCACATTTAGTTAAAAATAGTTTTGTGCATTAAGCAGTTATATTCTTTTGATCTGTATAACAGTGACATGAGAAAAAAAATAAATGTGGAGTGTAGAGAAAATCCATTCTGACAGGAATATTAATAGATGTAATTCTAACATTCGGATTTTGCTTTATTAATTATACTCAAATACTTCGGGGTGCCTGGGTGGCTCAGTCGGTTAAGTGTCTGCCTTTGGCTCAGGTCCTGATCTCAGGGTCCTGGGATGAAGCCCTGCATGGGGACTCCCTGCTGAGCAGGGAGTCTGCTTCTCCTGTTCCCTCTCCCTCTGCTCCCCCCCACACACTTGTGCATACTCTCTCAAATAAATAAAATCTCAAAAATATATATACTCAAATGCTTCAACATACTAAGTATGTATAGATTTTGTTAATTGTGAGAAAAATACAGTACATAATCAGTAGGAAATCGTACTTTTATCATCTACAAACACTTTTTTGTGGCTTGGGTGACTGGGAGAATGGAAGAGATGGAGAGCAGGTGTTAGAAAGAGAAAGTGAGAATAGACGTGTGCAAACATGACTTCACTTCTGGACATTATGGAAAAAATACAAATCCCTCTTCTTACAGGAAGAGGCATATAATCAGTTAATTAGCTCTGGTAGTTGGATTTATTAAGCTAATAAAAAATCCATTCTCCTTCTCTAAAGCTGCTCTAACAGAAATATAAGACTAACCAGATAGGTAATTTTAAACTTTCTAGTAGCCATAATCAAAAACTAATTTTCAAATATTATATATATATATATAATAATCCCAATACATCCAAAATATCATTTCAAAGTGTAACCAATCTTTAAAAATTATTAGTGAGCTTTTTGGAACTATATCTTCTACACTCAGTATGTATTCTGCACTTATGGCACATCTCAATTCAGACTAGCCAATTTCAAATGTTTAGTAACCACATGTGGCTGGTGGCTCCGTGCTGGACAGCACAACTCCAAAGCTACTGACATCCAAAAGAAAACAGCCCCATCTTTTCGCAATAGAACTCACTTGTTAAGTCTACTGTAAAATATACATGAGATTTCTAGATTTGACAATAACAGTGATGATGACATAATAATAATACTAACAATAACAACAACTAACACTTAATACAGAACAAACCATCCCCAGATACAGTGCCAGGCATGGTTTTTATTCGCTTAACTCTCATAACAACCCTATGAGGATTCTAAGCTTCATTATAAAGATAAGAAAACAGTCCCAGGTCAACCAGGTTGCAAAGAAATATTATGCATCTGCTAAGATAATAAAGAAATCTAGGTACTGGCACAGGAAAATAGTCAAAAATCTTTACATGGGACAGTAAAATTAAAAAACAAGTTGCAGCACAGAATGTTTACTCTAACATTATTTTTCCAAAAGAAAAACACAATAAAGAGACACTCTTATACATCTGTACTTTCACAGGTACACACTTAATTGGTTATACTCATACTGAAAAGGCTTGGAAGATTACAAACAAATGGTGAACACTGATAATCTCAGGAGGAAGAGAGTTTAAGTTAAAATGAGTCTCAGTTTTTAAATTTTTATCGTTTATATAGTTCAAAACTTATATACCGTGTATATAGCTAATGTTGGCAGGGAGAAAAAGTAATGT